CTTCGGCGGTTAGCTTTCTTTATGGTCCAGCTCTCACTTCCATACATCACTACAGGAAAAACCATAGCTTTGACTATTCGGACTTTTGTTGGCAAGGTGATGTCTCTGCTTTTTAAGATGCTGTCTAGGTTTGTCATCGCTTTCCTCCTAAGAAGCAGGTGTCTTTTAATTTCATGGCTGCTGTCACCATCTGCATTGATCATGGAGCCGTAGAAAGTAAAATCTGTTACTGCCTCCATATCTTCCCCTTCTATTTGCCAGGAGGTGATGGATCCAGTGGCCATGATCTTAGTTTTTTTAATGTTGAGCTTCAAACTATTTTTTACGCTCTCCTCTTTCACCCTCATTAAGAGGTTCTTTAATTTCACCTCACTTTCTGCCATCAGAGTGGTATCATCTGCATATCTGAGATTGTTGATATTTCTTCCGGCAATCTTAATTCCGGTTTGGGATTTCTCCAGTCCAGCCTTTTGCATGATGTATTCTGCATAGAAGTTAAATAAACAGGGGCACAATATACAACCTTGTCGTAGTCCTTTCCCAATTTTGAACCAATCAGTCGTTCCATATCCGGTTCTAACTGTTGCTTCCTGTCCCACATATAGGTTTCTCAGAAGATAGATAAGGTGGTCAGGCACGCCCATTTCTTTAAGGACCTGCCATAGTTTGCTGTGGTCCACACAGTCAAAGGCTTTTGCATAATCAATGAAGCAGAAGTAGATATTTTTCTGGAACTCTCTGGCTTTCTCCATAATCCAGCGCATGTTAGCAATTTGGTCTCGAGTGCCTCTGCCCCTGCGAAATCCAGTTTATACTTCTTGGAGTTCTTGGTCCACATAATGCTGAAGCCTGCCTTGGAGGATTTTGAGCATAATCTTGCTAGTGTGTGAAATGAGTGCAATTGTATGGTATTTGGAGCATTCTTTGGTGCTGCCCTTCTTTAGGATTCGGATGTAGACTGATCTTTTCCAATCCTCTGGCCACTGCTGAATTTTCCAAACTTGCTGGCATATTAAGTGTAGCACCTTAACAGCATCATCTTTTAAGATTTTAAATAGTTCAACCGGAATGCCATCACCTCCACTGGCCTTGTTGTTAGCCATGCTTTTTCAGGCCCACTTGACTTCATTCTTCGGGATATCTGGCTCAAGGTCAGCAACCACATTATCTGGGTTGTCCGGGATATCCAAACCTTTCTGGTATAATTCCTCTGTGTATTCTTGCCACCTCTGTTACGAGCCTCTATCCAAAGTTCTTCAGGCACTCCGTCCACCAAATCTAGTTCCTTAAATCTGTTCTTCACTTCCACTGTGATAGTTCTTCAGGCACTCTGTCCACCAAATCGAGTTCCTTAAGTCTGTTCTTTACTTCCACTGTGTATTCATAAGGGATTTGGTTTAGATTATACCTGACTAGCCTAGTGTTTTTTTCTTACTTTCTTCATTTTAAGCTTAAGTGTTGGTATAAGAAGCTGCTGATCAGAGCCACTATCAGCTCCAGGTCTTGTTTTTGCTGACTATATAGAGCTTCTCCATCTTTGACTACTGAGGGCATAATACTATATAGAGCTTCTCCATCTTTGACTACTAAGTACATAATCAATCTGATTTTGGTATTACCCACCTGGTGGTATCCATATGTAGAGTTGCCTCTTGTGTTGCTGGAAAAGAGTGTTTGTGATTACCAGCTTGTTCTCTTGACAAAACTCTATTAGCCTTTGCCATACTTCTCTGTTGTTCCTTTTATTTCTTCACTCCCTACTTTAGCATTCCAATCCCCTATAATGAGAAGAACATCTTTCCTTGGTGTCTAACATGCCTACCTCTTCTAAATATTTTATTGTGAATTCTGTTCTTTTGTTTTGCCCCAAAGAAAGAGTACAAAACATCCATCGCTTCCAGTTTCCTACCCAGGCATAAGCACCCCCTGTCATCTTAAGATAATGCATGGAGCCCTCTTGTGAATGCTGTATTAGATGGAATCCATTATGACAATTAGTACATAATTAGCATGAATGTTCTAAACGGACAGGCCACATCTGCTCCAACCCTCCCTACCCCTTTTTGACAGTACCCAACACTTACGTTATTGGCATTTTCTCCTCCTTCAAACACAAGGCCATTCACTGCCAAATAATCCAAGCCTGTGTCATGTTACAGAGTCCAATTATACACAGGAGTTGCTACAGCCCTTCTGAAGCGGACGTTGCTTTCTTGAGTAATCTGCTGTGGTTTGTGCTTTGGGCTTTTTAAACTGGCTTCCTTTGCTTTCTTTGGCTCTTTTCTCCAAGCTACGCAATGCACATGGCAGTGTTTTTCCATTGTACTTGATGAAGGGGGTTCACAGCAGATTACAGGGTTTGCACACAGAAATCCCAGGTTCTGTCCCAGGCATCTCTGGGCAGATCTGGCAAGATAGCCTGAATTTCAGAAGAGCCTCTGCCATCCCTTTTGCTCAGTCATGAACTAGAAACGGGCTGATACATAGTCTGGTTTAATATGGAACATCTTCCAGTTGCTTTTGGAAGCCACCAGGAAACAGAGAGTAGGTGTCAATGGGGCCTGATTCAGCAGGGCTCTTCTTATGGTCTTATGTTCTTCTTCGGGGTTTTGTTTTGTTTTGTTTTAATCCATGTCGAAACCTGTATTTCCATGGGCAAAATTGTATGCCCATTCTCAATCAAAGGGTGCTTAAAGAGACTGCACTGGGAACTTGCATTCCGCAGCAGTCTAGTTGCCAAGTGTCGCGATCTACCTTGTTGCCCCTGTTTATTTGGCCCTCACAAGGGATCACACCCTTCTTCTTTCACGCTGCCACCAGGTATTCTCCTAATACCAATTTATGTTATACACGTGTGCTGCCAGCACTGTTATTGAACTTAGGAATCAGAGGTTTAATTAACAAATATTCTTTTATTGTCAAGTAAATCATAAAGGTAAATCACATATGAACTGCATCAGGTATTAACACGGATTGGATCAGGGAGGCAATCACTTTTATTCCAAACTGCTATATACTTTCAATCAATATTTCTCTTGTAGTACTTATGACTTCATTCCTGCTTGTTCAATATTGTTTAACCTTCTCAGTTCCCTCTCCTAACACACTCAGATCAATTCACTAGCCCTCTCCTTCTCTCTCCTAAACCCTAACGGCCATTTCACATCTCCAACTGTCTCTCTGACTCCCTGTCTCTCTAACTCCGCCCCTCCTGCCCTATCCTTAGCTCCTCCCTCTTGAGCTTCTGTGATGGACAGGCAGGAATGTTGGCATTTTGCTACGCCAGCCCGTGCATTACTGGGTCTGGTGCGGGCGTGGCACCTGTCCGTCCCAATGTCTAGCTGCTGACTCGCTGCCTAGAACTTGCTCTCTTGCAGTGACAGATAGGTGTGCAAATCGCCATTTCATATCTGGTGGTTCTCCTACTCTTTGCAGCCCATCTCGACTGATAGTAATTGGCTTGAGTAAAGAAAGAGATGTGGAAAAGATACATGGCTTTTGAAACAAGCCGGGCAATGTTGTCTCCCCTCCCTCAGCTTCTTCTCAGACAAACTTTTGCAAGCTAGTTCTGAGTTGTTTTCCTCACCCTCTCATTTGAATTTCAGATCAGTCAAGTCCTGGGCAATGAAATCAAATTTGCTGTGCGGGAGCCCTTGGGGCTCAGGTAAGTTTCCACGTTTAGAATGCTAGCCCAAGGCAAAAAGGCACGAGGGATGACTCACCTCATTGCCACTGAGCCGGTGATAACTCAGGATTGGGGTGGGCAAATGTGCCTTTCCAAATGCTTTTGATATATGGGTCCCATCCTCCCCACCATTGGCTGTTCAGCCCAGAGCCTGTTGGAGCTTTACGCCAGAAACACCTCAAGGGCCACAACTGCCCACCTCATCTCCCTTTGTCTGGATCAGGTAGTGTTTCTCCCTCGTTGCCAGTGCCGACTCTGAGGTTAGGAAAGTTGTGAGTGAAGTGGGTCCCCAGCTTTGGAGGTACACTATGTGCAAAGATACTTGCAGTCATTTCACATACATTTCCTTGCTCTACAACTTTTAAAACAGCTGAAATCCCATTCGCCAACAATAACATAACTGTACCTCATGTAAGAAAGGCAGCATCTCTCAGTTTAGGCTGGGCAGAAGGTTCCATTCCAGCCTTGCCTCAGTGCATGTTCACTTTATTATTTTTAACATGTATAAGCCATCTTTATCTGCAAGTGGCCTCAGGGCCTTGTGCAGAATATTTTTTAAAATAACAAATGCAGCCTGGAAAACAAACAGCTTGAAAATAAGAGGCATCAGTGCTGTTCACCCAGCAGAGTGACTAGAAAGCACAGCTTTCTTTAAAACCCCACTTCAAATTTAAAAAATTGAGACAAAAAAAGATACCTTTTCACTGAATTGAAAAGAAAGCAAGGCCTGGGGCTGTTATTGTTTTCAGATGCAAGGCACTCCAAAGTTTGGAGGGGGGGCAGAGAGAACACACCCTCCTTTGTAAAGTTAGAAGCAGTTGGAGGAGTCAGTAAAAAAAAGGCTGGCGGGCCTGAAAGCAATGTCTTCCCCTTCTGCAGCTTAGATGGCAAAGCCAGCATACCAAGCAGTAAAAGGGCCTTTCTAAAGGGGGCACACCTTGAATCTTTTGTACTTTTCCAAAATGAACCTCTGTGAATGGGTGCTGCACAGAAAGTGTAACACCAAAAGGTATTCTGAAGCACACTTGGGCAATGCTGTAGGCTGGAAACCCTAATTAGGCTGATGAGCTCAATAAAAGGCTTGTAAACAAGAGAAAACAGGAAGCCACCCTCGTGGCATAATCTGAACTAGCTCCTAAGTGACCCTGCGGTGTATTTGCAAAGCTGTAGAGCTTTAAGGGGAGGTAGGAGTGCACCTCAATATGGGATGCTGCTCAGGGTGAGGCTCTGGTGTGGATACCCCTGGACAGCGTTCTGCTCCCAAATGAGGATGCAGCTCCCTGAGATGGTTTGCTGATTTTTGTGACAGCATCATGATAATTATTTCCTCCTGAACTAGGCCAACCAGAAGGATGGATCTTGCAATGAGGCTGTAAAGTTAAAACAATTGTTAACAAAAATCTCACCATCACATATTCACTCACATGTGGTCATCCTTAAACTAATAACTCACTCAGTTTCCAGTGATCTTCTCTTTGCCTTCTTGATGGATATGGCATCCAGAATTAGTTTACCCTCCTGGCCTTCCTGTTTTACAAGGACTCCTTCCCAGATTTACAATTTTGCAAATGCCTTTGAATTGATTTGGAAAGTTTCAACCTGTCTTTTCTTTTCTTCTGCATTCTTCTTGACCCGCTTGTCAGCCAACAGGGCTTGTTTTGTTTTTGTTTTTGTTTTTTTTAAATGTTATTGAAAGAATATGGAAATAACATGAACGAGAAAACCAAAATAATAGTACAGGTTTTTCTTTAGAAAGGTAGAATCGGATACAGTGCCTTCACACTGTGACAGCTTTCTTTGGAGAAAACCCATCAATAATAGGCAGAGCTTGCGGATGGCTTTTTTGGACTACAGCTCCCAGAATCCCCCAACCACCATGACCAGTGCTGTGGGGATTCTGGGAGCTGTAACCATGAAAAAAAAATGTTTCCAAGCACTAATAAAAGGCAGCCATCTTCCTCTAGAATCCTGAATTGAGAGGACACTGCCTTCTGACTATGAAAAGATTAACGCCTGTTCTGTTTGTTCCTGCAGGGTTTGGCAATTTGTGTCAGCCATCATCTTTTCTGGGGTTGCCATCATGGTAAGTTAGGAAAATATTTCCACACTGCCTTCCTCCCTGCGTTTCCATCACTGTGTTTCTATTCATTGGCCTTTAAGCTTCTCATGGTGGGAAGCCCTGATCTAAGTCAAGCTTCCCTTGAATTTCCCTTTCCTTTGATGCTTTCGGCAGCCATGTATGCCCTTGTTTGGCTTGAGCTGGAGGCCTCTGCTGAAGTTCATTTCTTACCCTTAGGCTCTCGCCTTCCCTGAGCAGCTCTACGACACTGTCTTTGAGGAAGAATCAGTCAACAGTAAGACGCCCATTCGCCTGTATGGAGGAGCCTTGCTGAGTGAGTAACAGCCAAGGGAGGTGACCCAATCTTCTCTGCTAGGAATAGCTGGATGGATTTTGGGGGGGAGGACTGGATTTCCTGGGGTAGGGAACAAGTGGAATGGCACTGCTTAGAAATCACATTCATCAGAAGTGGGCAATGTGTGTTCGTTCCAGATGATATGAAACTGCACCTCCCACTATCCATCACCATTAGCTGGGCTGACTAGCGCTGATGGGAGCTGCATTCCAATCCTGAATTCTTATTCCTTAGGACATTAAGTTATGCATTTAAGAAATTGCACAGATTGGTACAGAGTTATCAGCTCCTCAGTCTCTGTCATATGGCAATTTAGATCCAGAAGGAAAAACTGCAGTCTCAGAATGTCAGAAAATAAGTCCTGTATTTCAATTTCAAATGGCCCAAAAATAAATTATTTATTTCAACTTAAAATTGCCCAACATGTTTCAGCCTGATTTTAAGGCATTCTTCAGAGACTGTGTAAAATAAAATGAAAAGGGGAAGCGGAGAGAAAACATGTTGCCATTTTTACATTGCAATACATGTGTTTTTTTATACATACCATTGATTTTTGGTCCATATTAGATCATTGTCCTTTTATTATCCATAAGATGTCTATTTTATTTATTTATTTATTTAAAATATTTTTTATCCTGCATTTCTCCGTAAAAAGAACCCAAGGCAGCTTACATTATTAAAAAGATCATATTTAAAAGCTAAAACAGTAGGTGTACAAATATTTAAAAAGAATTAAACAAGTATTACATTAAAAACTGTAATAAAATCCATAGTAAAACATGTTTAAAACAACAGAACACAACAATCCATTTCAAAACCCCTCTCAGACCAACAGTTATTAAGGGAAAGCCAGCCTGAAGAGAAAGGTCTTTGCCTGCTTGCTGAAGGACAGCAAAGATGGGGCCAGCCCATGTAACAAGCTCTGTATAAGAAAAGACATCCAGGGCCCTTTCAGGGGAGCATCTAGCTAAAATCAGAAATAACTGATCAGGAACCCCTTTGGTCAGTCATTGTGTTGAGAACAAACAACCTGTAATAAATTTACAGCTCTGTCCGTGCTGGTGACAATGAGGCATGGTTCAAAAAGGAAATTGACTGGATCAGCCCCGGATTAACCATTAAGCAAAATAAGCACTTAGGGTATTAACAAAGGAAGGGGGCATCACAGAAGGCATTTTCGGTGCCAGATTTACCACAGTCCATGGTGCAAATGGTGCACCCTCCTTAACAAACCACACCCATCCATCCAGATCTCTCCCTCCTTCGCTCCCTCAAGAGTCCCAAGGAAGCCGCCTCCCTGCTGAAAGCCATCGAGTATGAACCAGTGAACCCTAAAAGGGATAAAGATTCACCTAGCGCGAAAACCTAAGTTTGAATAAAATGATCAGTCATCATCATTGTCACTTGGTGGGGTCTTCTTCTTCTTCTTCTTCTTCTTCTTCTTCTTCTTCTTCTTCTTCTTCTTCCTCCTCCTACTCCTACTCCTGCTCCTGCTCCTACTCCTACTCCTCCTACTCCTCCTACTCCTACTCCTACTAGTACTACTACTACTACTACTATTACTCCTCCTCGTACTCCTCCTCCTCCTCCTACTACTACTACTACTACTACTGTATTTTGGGATCTTGAGTGGGAGTAAGCGTAAAAATAGCTGCAGGTCTTTTAGACTAGGGCCTCTTCACAATAGGTGCAAGCCAAAGAAATATCAGCCACTCTTTTTAAAAAGGCTCCAAAAGGTTGTGATCATCAAGCTGACCTTGTCATAATTTCTAATTTTTCTTCCTATGTTTGCTCCCCATCCAGATATGTGTTCAGGTGAAAGTCATCTTCCAGAATTTCAAAGATCCCTGAAATGGGTGTGCAGGAAATGTCTTTAAAAAAAAAAAAAATCCTGTTTCCCCCCCTCCCCCCACAACCATTTCTTTCTGGTTGCTCCTTATAATTTATCTGCTTAAAGGCAAGAGCAGCTGGCTAAATAGCTCAGGGGGTTGGATATCCAGCTGTGGAGCCACAGGTCTGGAATTCAGTTCTCCACTGTGCCTCCTGTGAGTAGAGTCAGCTTGTGTGGCTCAGGGCGAGCCGGACAGTGGTAGGAGGCCTCCAGAAGAAGGGAATGGTAAAGCATTTCTGAGTAGTCTCTACCTGGAAAACCCTGGAAAGAGACACTGTAAGTCAGAATTGAATTTATGGTACATGATTGTTAGTATTCTTAAAGGCAAGAATAGACTTCTTAAGCCAGTCCTGTAGTGTCCCAGAGCGTATGCCATATTCCTGTGGCTTTTTCTGAAATCATTTTGAATAAAATCAGGTTGTGTTAATTATTTTCCTGATTTGCTAGGGGTCAAAAGTAGCATGGGTCTAATAATTCCAGATAATTCTAATGCTGAGAGGGAAGGGAACCTTTTCTTTTAGGCTTATTCTATGAGCCTGCAGCAACACCTGGTGGTCACAAGAGGAAGTGCAGCAGCCCCTAAGCCTATGGATAATACGGCTCTCTAGATCAATTTGTGTCTGCCGCTTGCACTGAAGCAGCTGAAAGGCAGCCCTCTTTTGAGATTTGCTCCTCCCCTTCTTCCCTTTGTTATTTCTTCTTTCTGGTTGCTTTGCTTGACTGTTTCTTAAGGTCTGGAGTGAGCAGATAAACACAACCGAATTGTAGCTCATGCACACACACACACCAAGAAAGGGCAAGAAAAGATAAAGCAGCAATTTCAAATGGAGTGTCTGTGCTAGTCTGTCTCAGCATGTTCAAACAAGAAGCAAAAACAAACCAGCGAATACACTGCAGCACTTAAATGGTCAGTCTTTAATTTCACTGTGAGCTTCCATGAGTCAGAGTCCACTTCCTTGCACACTGGGGGGAAAATACATGACCAATATATTTATACATATCCCCATGAACAAATAATGACTACGTTAATTAATTAATTAAAATATTTTACTGCGTTTCTCCTTAAAAACGAGTCAAGGCAGCTTACGTCATTAAAAATCCCTCACAGACAGCCAATCACTAAGGGAAAGCCTGTCTTTGTCTGTTTGTGGCAGGACAGCACAGATGGGGCCAGCTTGGCCTCCTGTGGGAGGGAGATCTGAAAACTAAAGACATTGGACTGGGTGGCTTGTACAAGACCAGATTTGCTCAAAACCACAGGACAGATACTAAATACTCACACAAGGGAGACGTTTCTTAGACTACAGTACCCACCAGTTTGAATAGGCAAACTGGCAGAGCCAAACTGGTGCCCAGGAACAATCTGCTAAGACAGACTCAAGAGAGAATATGACTGAACATGATTGGCAGTCACCTCCAACTCCCAGCTGTAACATGTCAAGAGTGTCCCCCAACCTATTTCAAAGAGTTGTACTCCCCTTCTCCAGGCTTTTGGTGGCCAGCTTTCTTGCCTACAGGGAACCCCTAACTTTAACCAGCTATTAACACACAACAGGCCAACGGAGTATGGAGATGAAGGCAGGAGTAGGATCCTGTCACAAATTTAGATGTTCAAGCTGCAGATAGCACGATGACGGCCCCCAACAATGTTAGCCACAACGCCAGAGTTTGATTTACATGTTCTTCTTTTAATTGTGATTTATGACGTCCTCTGTCAGCAGTATCCCTCTGCTTTTTGTGCAGGACAAAAGAATGGGTGGACACAAGTCCAGCACCAGGAATGACAACACAAAGAAATCAGTGTCAGAACATTTCAGCTCCCCTGACACTCTGTTAAGGATTTCAGAGTGGCTGTAGCAGAAAAGGAGGAACTACAAACAAGGACTTGAGGGAGAGGCAACAGAAATAGGCTACAGAAACAAATTCTAGTGTATCATTAAGGGTCTCAGCAGAGATCTAAGCTTCTTAGCACACTACTGCATATTCATAACCCAGCTTTCTGTGTTACCCTCTGGGTCCTGCCTTCCTTGCAAGACTCAGACCTCTGGCCCAGAAACATTTCCTAGCATTCTTATGACAGCTGAGCCAAGCAGTAACGAACTGCTTGATAGCTCTGTTAACAAAATGTTCCAATTTTTTTCCCTATTAATCTTATCCTCACCTGGTCATGGTGATACGAGTGTGTGCATTTGTGTGTGTAAGAGAGAGACAAAGAGAGACAGACAGAGACAGAAATGCTGAATTATGTTGGCGCTGTGGGCTAAACCGCAGAAGCCTGTGCTGCAGGGTCAGAAGACCAAGCAGTCGTAAGATCGAATCCACGTGACGGAGTGAGCGCCCGTCCTTGTCCCAGCTCCCGCCAACCTAGCGGTTCGAAAGCATGCAAATGCGAGTAGATAGATAGGGACCACCTCGGTGGGAAGGTAAACAGCGTTCCGTGTCTAAATCACACTGGCCATGTGACCACGGAAAGATTGTCTTCGGACAAACGCTGGCTCTATGGCTTGAAGAGCGGGATGAGCGCCGCCCCCTAGAGTCGGACACGACTGGACAGAGACAAAGAGAGACAGAGAGAGACAGAGATGCTGACCTATGGTGACCCTAATAGAGTTTTCAAGGTAAATGAAATATTTAAGGAGTGGTTTAGCCAGTTTTACACTTTTACCAGTTCCAGTGAGTTTCCATGGCTAAGCTCCTGGGTCCTAGTCCATCATTCTATCCACTAAGCTACACTAGCTTTCTACATGTGTAAATATACTGGTCACACATTTACCCTCCAGTATCTGAAGAAATGGATTTTGATCCACAAAAGCTCACATTGAAATAAAATTGTTTTTAAAGGGCTATAATATTTTGGCTCCTCCCACCCCCACCCCCTGTTTTCTCCCTTTTCTTTTGCCAACATCAGGTAATTGTGTGTCTTCTACAAGAGGTCCTGTCAGATAATACTGATTTTGCATTCAGCTTCTTTCTTCCGAAAGGTATAAGCAAACTTTACCTGCTGGAAGTAAATCTGTGTCATGTCATGCTATCTTCTCTGGACCTTTTAATTCCTCCTGCTGCCAGTTTATAAAACAAAGGGAAAGTACACAAGGCACCGCGTAAAGACTTGGTAGGGACATTATACAAGTCCCTAGAAAGGGCTTTGATATTAGATAAAGATCTGGCCAAAATAGGGATGTAGTCTGAATTTTGTAGGTAGGTTTTTTTGAGAGAGGAGAAATACTGTTTTTTTTAATATAGGTCATATTAATGGGAGAAGAATCTTATGGTAATTATGGTAAGATATTTTCAAAATACGTCAAAAGGCAAACAGAAGTATTTAAATCTTGATTTTGGTTTTTAAACATTTATCTTGCCCTATCGTGAAAGTTTTCAAGCTGGCTGAAGAGCAAAACAAAGTCCAGATTATTTGGTCAATGCAGGCTTCAAAGTTAGAATGGGATATGAACATGTTTGTGCCACTAGACCTTCTCTGAAAGCTTTGCCTACAATGTCTTATTCCTGTTGTTGTGAAGGTTCGCAGTCCAGGTATCCCATTTATGCATCAGAAGCCTTGTGGGGGCAAAGGCCTGACCTCACCATCTTTGCCGAGCCCTGTGTTGGCTGCCAGAAGGGACACAAAGGCAGGGTGGCAGGGGAAGGACAGGGCAGGTATAGGATCTTCTCTCCTGGTGTCTGATGCTAGCAGAAGATGAGGTTGTTTGGATTCACAACTTTCCAGTGCTTGAAGAAGGACCGATATGCAGAACAATAGCTAGCTTCTGGGCATTCTTGTACTTGCCTTTGGTCTCCTGAAACAGTCCTCTCTCTCCTTTCCCCTCCATGACCTCCTTAGGTATCTCCCTCATCATGTGGAATGCCTTGTACACAGCTGAGAAGGTCATCATCCGCTGGACCCTCTTGACAGAAGCATGCTATTTCGGGGTACAGTTCTTGGGTAAGTAGGCATCTCTCAGAAGCCTGAAATCAAGGGACAAACACCTGCCGCTTCAAAAGGAAAACAGTATAGTCTGAGTTCTAGTGATGCAACTAATCACTGACTCTACTGGGCAGCAGGACATGGGAGTGGAATTAGCAGTAATACTGGATGTAACATATGGAAAAATGCAAAGTTACTTACATATAGCACTGATAAGATAACCCTCAACTGTGTCTCTGAGATGAACAGTGTGCCATGACAAACTTTTAACCTTTCAAGCATACTTCCTTGCCCCAGTCATCCATCAATGTAACAGTCACCAATTCTCTGGGTCAGCTTTCGTCAACTAGGTGCCCCATCCATTTTCCTGAACAGGAAATCATTCCTATGGTGAGGAATAGCTGGAGACCCACTCCTATTCTTGGCAAAGAAATCTTTGAGAATGTGTTATGGTTGCAACAGCAGAGTTCAGTTGCTGCCTTTGCATCTATGCCAGGAAATAAGTATAGTTATAAATCATGATTTCTCTGGGTCAGCTTTCGTCAACTAGGTGCCCCATCCATTTTCCTGAACAGGAAATCATTCCTATGGTGAGGAATAGCTGGAGACCCACTCCTATTCTTGGCAAAGAAATCTTTGAGAATGTGTTATGGTTGCAACAGCAGAGTTCAGTTGCTGCCTTTGCATCTATGCCAGGAAATAAGTATTGTTATAAATCATGATACATTGGACAAATCATGTGTACCCCCACCATCAGTGTCATCTGTTGTTTCTGGAAGGGCATTTTAATTTCAAGATGCAAAAGCATCAGTGTATGAGAGATTTGGAAATTATGTTCCAAAGTTATAGAGCAGGAATGGGAAAATGTCTAATCTTGTAAGGTTCATTCAGTTTCAGCTCCCCATGAATCCCTTACTTCTGATGATCCTGTATAATTGATGGGAATTGTAGTCTAACAGCAGCTGGAAGTCTACACACCCTCTTCATCGGAAAAGCTCTGTCATCTCTAAAGATAATATGGGGCTCAGCTAAAAGAAGACTAGGGGGCAAAAGAGTTGTGTAGATTTGCTTGCCCAAACTTACAATATTGATTTGCCTGTGTACATTCTATAGAGGGAGAAAGGTGGGAATAAAATAAAATCGTTGAACTACCACCATTACCCACAATCCACAGGACTGGTCATCGACCTGACTTAGTTGTGCTCTATACCTTGGCTACAGTCACATCTGCTGGGGAAAGTTTGTGGACAAAATATGAAGAGATTCTGTCTGTGTGGCACTTGCTTAATGTAGGGGTTCAGGAATTATTGCCATCCAGATATTTTGGACTGGGAGGGAACCTGGGAGTGCTCAAATGATCCTGGCAGAGCCTTATTCAGCCCACGGGCTGTAAGGTTCCTCCTTCTGATATATCATTTTTTTCTCCTTCAGTGACAACCATCACCCTGGTTGAAAGTGGCCGGACGTCCACAGGAGCAACTCTCCTCCTCACCAGCCGAGTCCTCTTTGTTTTTACCAGTCTTTATTATTATTACCAAGTTGGACGCAGACCCAAGAAAATCTAATGGCCAAGACTTCCGAGGGTGGGGGATGGAGGGCTTGTCATAATGTTTGTGTTCCTTTTTGTTTGTTTGTTTTTTGTTTTTTTTGTTCTTGATCCTTTTAATGTTCCGTCTGTAAAAGCAGACTTCCTTACAGCATGCATCAGTGTATAAGTCCAGCGCTGGCTGTCACTGCCAACTGTCAGGTGTGGAAGAGGAGAGATCAAAGCCAGGCTGTCTCTGTGAAGCCTGGCTGGAGAAAGTGAGGAAACAGAGGTAACAAGGGCTAATCAGATTCTGAGGAAGTATGGGTGGGGTTAGTTTTGAGTAGAGAAGAAATGGCTATAAACAAGTAGCCTGTAGATTGTAGCACGTGATCAAACTATGTACACATACCGAGACAGAACAGGGTATCCAAGCTGAAGTTAGAGCAGCAGAACTGCCCAAGCAGCTTTTGTGTGTGTGTGTGTGTAGGGGGAGCCATATTTCCCTGCGGGTGAGCACCTGAGGATTGTGGTCTGCTGGTGGAAATCTGTGCTGCTTGTCCTAAAGCTGTGTTATCCTTTGGGGAAAGCAGAGATACAGTAGGGTAGTCCTAACAACATAAGAGAGGACAAGTTGATTAGTTGTTAGGTGTGGCTACCACCCTCATTCCTGAAAACTCCTGCCTTTTCAGGAGCACCGGTTACAGTAATGTAAGAAAGAATTTTTGCTGGCTTTGTTTTTTAAGAAGGGGAACCGGTGACAATATCTGGAGCAGCTACTGCGTCCCTTCCCCCACTTTCCTGTGATTCCCACTTAACAGGACTAATTGGTTTATGCTGTAACTCTTCTTAGTATCAGGTATTATAGAAACTACGCTCTAGATCTCTTGTTGGGAAGAGGGGACATGGAAGAGATAAAGGTGTGTGTTCACAGGGTAACTTTTAAAAAACAAAAATGCCAATCCTGTACTGAGTTGGACCATTGGTTGCCAGGCTCCCATTTCTTGATGCTACAGAAGGGAGTCTGTTCTACTCTTGTGTTGGAACACACTTTTCTAATCAAGTGGCCAGGGACATTTTAGGGAAATGCTACTATGATCTATGTCCATATATACACCATTGGGTACTCCATATGTTTCCGCCCATATGCAGGGATGATATGTGTGATGGATGGTTTTGATGGGCTTTCTAGCTTTTTTGTGAAATGGAAGGGATCTTGAAGGTAGGTGCATATTTGTGTAGAAGAGGGCTGGAGGAGAAACCTATAATTTATTTCTGTGTCGCTTCCTATTTATAAGGAGGACACCTCAGTGGGAGCATTGTGCCCTCTTGTTTGTATTGAACGGCTAAATTTATCCAAGCTCTGAACCTATCGACCATCAGAAAGATGTTTATATGTGGAGTTCCTTCCCACCACCACCCCCTGGGACACAAAATCCCCTGGACCCCTTGGTTCCCTAAAGAGATGGCAAGCTTTCACAGAAGGGGACTGTATGGTCTTCCTCCATGTTTAACTGCCTCTGGGATGTTTGCCAATTGCAAAAGGCAACCCAGACATTTGAGGCATTCTGATTACTGACTTTTTTAAAAAAAAAAAACACACATCAATTTTGTCTCTTCAGCAGAATGTGGATCCATTGATACCTACTGCCATGCATTCCAATGTTATTTATAATGTGTGAAAATTGCTAGTATAGGTTTAAAGTAGACCATAGAGATTTCTCCAGACTATCGCTCCAGGCATGCTGATGTGTCTTTCCCAAATGTATTGTGGTCGAGAGGCAAACTCACCAAAGATGGATATCTCTTCTGTCCTCAATCCTCTGATCAGAACTTTCTGCAATTCATTTCAAATAAAATAGGGAAGTGCTTGCTATTCTCATCCAGGGTAGAAAAGTAGTGCTGAATACAATGAAGTGTTGTATCTCAGTTTGGGTCTTCTTTAGCATTTTGTTACATACTTTGAAAAAAAAGCTGATAAAGAATTTCATGTTTGTCTTCACACCTTAATATGGACCTCAACAATATGTTTGTGTGTATGTGTGTATTACCCTCTATTCGGCTGTCTTAGGTGAGAAGAACACACATTCTGGATGTGGATTTCAAGGTTTTTGCCCATGCAGACTTCCATATGTGGCCTAAGCATTACGGATTGGATATGACAAATCCAGAGCAAGTGCTTGTGGTTTGTGTTGTGCTGAGATGCAACTCCTACACGGGGGATGAAAATTGCATCCACCTAACTGTGCTTATCATCGAAAACTGAAGAAGTATCCTTGGCGACAAGCAACAACAGTCTAGAAGGTCACAGGAACACACAATGGACATGAACTGTTTTTTGCTGCAGTGGGACTCCCCGCCCCCAACTGCCTGCTTTTATCTTCCTTTGGCCTTTGTTGAACACGTGCATGAACCTAGGCTACAATGGGCATTGAGCTGATGGACACACAAAGACTGTGCATCAAGTGGAAATCCTGCAGGGGTCTTGAACTTTTGATAAATGTGGTGATTCAAGTGTAGACTGTAGACTCCAAGGGTAGTGAGTAGTAGTTGAATGTGAGGTTAAACTTCTCCACAGGGTTGGTTTTAGTTCATGCTACTTTTGAGGATCACTCACCATTGTTGGTCTATGGAAAAGATAATCTGTACACTCTGTGAAATAAGTACGGTTTTCAGCAACGTCCCTCTGTCTCTGAGCATTCTGTTCCAAGGAGGGAGGGACGGTGGGGCCATGGCTTCCTTTCTCTCAGAGAGAACCTGATGGCCAAAGGAGGTCCCTTTCAGAGTTGCCCTTGCCTGGGGCACAAAAAACATAATGTGTGTGCCACACCCACACACTTCATGAGTGTGTGGGTGGGAATTGTGACCCGTTTAAAATCACAATATAAGGTGTGTGTGTGTGTTTTAATCCCATGTTCTGCTCCTCTGTTTTTGTATACATAACTTTAAAAAAAAAACAGCCTTTAGGAGTTCATAGCTCTCTGGCTTTCTCTCTGTATTTGTGGAAACAAACAGGATGGATGTCAGTTTCCTACAGAGTAGAAAAGAGGGCATTTGTTTGGGGTGAGAGCATGAACTCTGAATATGCAAGGACTCAGATGTTGTGGCATCTCCCTTTAAAGAGGGAGAAAGTCTGGTGGAAATAGAGAGAGGGAGCACCTGATGCCTGGAGACCAAGCTGTAAATGGCAGCATTGTATCCCCCAGTCCAGGTGCACAGCAAACTAAGCTGGACCAGTTATTTGGGTGCCTGATACAGAAGATCTCACATGCACCTCTCTCTGCATGCCTAGCAGTACAGTGGTGCCTCGCAAGATGATGTTAATTCATTCCGCAAAAAACGCTGTCTTACAAAAACATCATCTTGCAAAATGAAAAAGCCCATTGAAATGCATTGAAACCGGTTCAGTGCGTTCCAATGGGCTGAAAACTCACCGTCGAGCGAAGATCCTCCATAGGGGTGGCCATTTTCGCTGCCTGTAAAGCGGGGAATCCATCCTGAAAACACAGCGGGCAGCCATTTTAGAACCGCCAATCAGCTGTTTCTAAATCGCCGTTTAGCGGAAAATCAGTTCCCAAAGCAGGGAACCGATCATCGTTAAGCGAATTTTCCCCATAGGAACATCATTTTGCGATCACAAAAGCAGTCGCAAAAACTTCATCGTCAAGCGGTTTCGTTGTTTAACGAGGCAATTGTTAAGCGAGGCACCACTGTACATGATTTTAATCACCAGTGGTGTGAGGCACTGCAAACTCTCTCTTTATAGCATATGTTTGCATAATGATGGCTTCAAAGTAGCCTCATAAAAACTCTTGTATAAAAGCCACGCCTTTTCGAAACCCTTTGTGTTTTGTGTTGTGGTAGGATGCAACTCATCCACAAGAATGAAAATTACATCCACCTAACTATGCTTACCATCTAAAATGGAGGCTGTTTCCTTAGCGACAAGTGACTTGACCCACTTCTCTTGGCTGCTGCATGTAATTGCTAGTGATTTTCGGAGAATTGCACCTTCTCTGTCACTGCTGGAACACAAGACACTGTTTGCTAAAGGAAGTTCACAGCTGTAAGAAACTCAAATGGAAGAGCTGGATGGCAGCTGATGGGTGTGTAAATTAGCTTTGTTGTTAAACAAGTCCCCTGTCATGGCTTTCTCAACCCATGAAGAATTGTGGAGTGAGTTAAGTAGTGTGAAGTAGCATTGCCAGCTTCCTAAGGTTTACAGAAGGTGTTATCTTCATTCTCTGCTACCTGCAACACTCTCTATCCTGTGCAATAACAGATACCTGAAAGCACCACTTAACAAATATTTGTATGAATGTGCACTTCCCCTGTGAAATTTATGACCCAATATAGAAGATATTTCCTCTGTTCTTAGATTTCTAAAACAATGAAAAATGATTCAAAAGGCTCCGACGTTAGTGGCACTTCCACAGTTTGGAAGTGCTACTTTTTCACACTAGACTTCCAAGAATCTCGCCATCTGTAGAGCTACTGTAGCATCCTGGAAATTGTAGAATTTTTCCAAGCTCTGTTTCTTTTCAGCTTAGAACTTGGTGTTAGCATAATTGTAAGAAACTGTTACTATCGAACTGAATATTGGCATGTGAATAAGAGTATGCTTCCATAATCTCTGTTAAAACAAATAATAATAGTCAAGTCAATTCTGATTTACGGTAAACTTCAGGATTTTCTAAGTAGAAAGTACTTAGAAGTGGTCTGTCATTCCCTTCATCTGGGGCCACCTGGGAACTGTGCAACTTGCCCAAAGCCATACAGGTTGGTTATACTCATAGGAAACACACTGGGGAATCATGCTGCCAACCTATGACTCTGCACTCAGATGCCTGACTCTCTGAGCTATCTAACGAACCTGCATTTAAACACCAACCATCACAAAGTAGCAATAGTTCTGGAAAATTGACCAAGTTCTGTTTGGAGTAGCAGGGACATAATGGATGTCATCGGTTGGATCAAAGTCAAATAACATTGTGTTTTTCAACTATAGCTTCCAGAATCTCCTCAGAAAAGTGGCACAGAAATGAAAGAAACAAGCAAAGCTGAAGGAATATGGGAGTTGTAGTCCAGCCCACCCCTCCCTGGCTGCATCATCTTCATGTTGTACTGCCTACAAAAATATCCTTCTTTCCACAAATCACAGTTGTGTCCTCATATCACCATCAAAGGTTCTAACAACTTGAGCCACAACATCAGGGCTTATTTACATTTTTGTCCTCCAGTGGCATTTATTTAGTCTTCTACTAATGATGTCTCATCTACATAGAACAAACAGGACAATGTCAGCACAAAAGAATGAATGGATGCAGTTCTGACATCAAGAATGAGTATATAGAGAAATTAGTCTCAGAATACTGTACTTCTCTCTCCCAAGATGTTCTCTTAGGGAACTCAAGAGTAGCTATTATGGAGGATGAGAAGCAATTAACACTGGAGAAACACTGGATGGAGACAGCACAAGTAGAGACATAAATTCCAGTGAATCTCTCATGGCTTAAATAAATATTAAAGCTTCTTAGCACACCCCATCTATCAATAACAGTTTTCAGTAATGCCTTACGTGAATAAAATAATTGTCTCCCTTGACCCTCTGCCCTAGAAAGATTTCCAGCATTTTCAGGAGCCAAAGCCACCTGGAAGACATTAATGTATTGATAGTCCTATTCCTGTGTTAATGATGTTGCACTGTCACTTTGTTTATGGCCTGTCTCCTCCTCTGGTTGAGACTCTCACCAGCAGAGAATATGTATAAATATAGTTTGCATGGTACGAGGAACTTCATATATCTGAAGAAGTGGATTTTGAAAGCTCACATGGAAATCTTTTGAAGTGCCACAGTATTTTGCCTTTTCTTTCCTTTTGGCCAACAACTGGAAACTGTGGGTCCCTCCTCATCGCCACAGCACATATGCTCGCCATTCTGTCCACTTGAATGAGTATTTTTATCATTTTCTGACCCCCATTAGTTGGCAGAAGGGAAAGGACTGTTGTCTCACCTGCCTTACCGGGAGGAATCTCTCTCTTCCCAGTTGACCAGAACAGGAACACATTCTGAGGGCTCAGGTACATGTCATAATACTCCTGGTTTTACATCAGGTTCCATACACTTGAAATCAATTAAAAATATCTGCCTACATGATAAACAGTTAAATGCAATTTTGTTTTTAGTCTGAAAGCAAGTCTTTTTAAACAACCAGGAGGGACTTGTTTATTTTAACTTGATTATGAATGTGATTTATTTTGAATCAATCTGATGTGTGTGAATGCCTGTGTTGGAGTAAATAATATTTGCTGGGGTTTGTGAGAGTTGTCATGTTTTGGGTGCCAAGTATAGTGGGTTTTGGATTGCAGGATACTGTACAATCTAAACCCTTGCTTAAAAAAATATGTTTCTATTTTATCGCTGCAATGATCTAGTGCTGTGCCAATTCAAAACTTTATAAAACCGAAATGTTTTTTTAAAAAAATGTAAGGAGACTGGGGACAGGTGGCAGTGGCTGCTGTCACTGTCATCTCTGCAGCTGCCCTAAAATTCGCAATTCCTGTTCCCCCAATCACTACCTGAAAACTCCCCCTGACCAGAAGGTGGGACTGTGCCCGCCCTCTTGGCTCTGCGGAGCTCCCAGCTGTTGTAGAAGGTGGGGCAGCTGGGCTTCAGAGTGATGATGAGCTCTTGCCTCCTATCTATGTTCTCCCTGGCCTGAGAGAAGCCTTCACCACGTGGAAGGCTTGGAGACAGTCCTCTCCCCATCTACTTACAACACAGAAGTAAGACATGAGGGAGAGAGAGCAGTTTCCATGAGAATGCCCACACCGACACAAAAACCACAATATGTTACCAGCTCCCAACTGTGTAACTAAGCCCTGAGTCTAAAAAGCAGTGATTCTGTACTTAACAAATTAAACCATGTGGTTGCCAAAGAAATCACAGAGCAGTAAGTCCAGTGCTGCAACCAACTACTATCTAGAAATAACAAGTATGTTCAGGAAAATTATGATAGATGGATAGATAGATAGATAGATAGATAGAGAGAGAGAGAGAGAGAGAGAGAGAGAGAGAGAGAGATGCAATATATAAAACACACAATAGTTTTCCATGGGTAACCTGTCTATGCATGCATTTACATGTAATTTTATGCATTGAGTATTTAATACACAACCCAATGCTTGTACTATATGGTTCAATTTGCTAATCTGAAGAATGAAAATGGCAACAGGCATTCAATGCTAGACAGAAAGCACAATCCGTAGTTTAGCCTTTAAAAAAGTTCACTCTTGCTGGGTAAATTCACCATTACTCCTTTGTGGAAAAGATGGATTGCAATTAAAACAAAAGCAAAACACAATCCATAAACTGTGAAGAGTTAAAGCCACTTGCTTGTCACAGTGTCTTTATTTTTGTCTTTTAATTTTTTTTAAAGAAATGCACATAGAAATTGTGCAAAATGTTCCAGAATAGTGTTCTGTTTTATGTTACAAAAAGCCATTTTGATATAAAAAGCATTACAATAGGGGTTATAAGTTAAATTAGCTCTAGCCTTCTAATAAAAGGAACATTTAAAATAGATTTCAACATTAACTTCATAAGTGGCTTGTTTCCCAAGCACCTAAAACAGTGACAAGAACAGACAATGCAAGAGGATGGGGTGGGTCTAGGTTCACAAACACATATAATTGAATATGGACATGAATCCAGTGTGAAACTCCCCTCTGTATGATTCATTTCAAAACAGAAAAGCTGTGCAAGAACTGGTTAACTGCTCACAGAGATCTCAAAAGGATTTCTGTGGAACGAGACTGTGCTACAATGTGTCCCCGAAAAATACTGAAGACAGAAAGCGCATCATCTCTGGCTCCCATATTTTTTTTTACAGCTCCAAAAGCTAACACCCGAACTGACATTCTTGCTCATCTGTTTACTGCTTGTGAGCTCCACTCCTTTAAAGGAGGATGGAGGTTTCCTCCAAGGCAGTGTGTCAAGAATTGCAGCCTAACATCCAAATTCTGAATTGGGGAAAGCAATTGCATTTGCTAATAATCTCCAGATGTTCTTAGGATTGAAGCAGGAGAACTCTCCAACCTCTCCTCAGAAATCATACCTCCCTAAAGTTAGTGGACTATGTTGATGGATTATTTAGTTTTAGATTTCTCTAATTTTGATGAGAACCATTGAACCACCCACTCTTTGAAACAGAAGGAAGCAACCCTTCAGGCAATGATACGTCCAGTTTTATAATACCACTTGCCTCTTCTTCCTCACCAAAGCCAAAGAAAGTGGTGGCCTGGCTCTCGGTTTATTAAAAACAACTGCTTTAGAGAAGAGAGTGGAAACTAAAACATCATTAATTAAGAATGGGGGCCAATAGCCCTTTTTGAGACAATCTCATGGACAATCAAACAATCCCTGCACACTCTGGCAAGCTCCCTTTGTGTGTCCAGACTTGTACCCATTGGATGCATAATGGAGACACTGCTGGAGCAGGGTAAACGTTACATGATTTGCCTTAACACACCCAATAGGATACTGGCCAAAGTAATTATGAACAGAGACAGAACAGGAAAAAGAGAGAGAGAGAGAGAACACCCACCAGGCATGTGATTTTTAAAGAGCAAGAAAAACACATGGAAAATAATTATTTCCCTCGTGTTTTTAAAATGAAACAAAAAAAATTGGGGAGCTTGAAATGATAGCTGTAACCACTCATATTTTAAAAACAGCTTTCCTACCTTTGTTCCCTTTTCATCTGCTATAGTGATCAGCCAACCTCATTTTCAGGGCACATGGCATGTATGTCAGGGAAGAAAAGGCCCCAGTTCAGTAGCTGAGCACATGCTTTGAATGTGGAAGGTGTCAAGCTTAGGCAGCGAAAAAATTCTGGACAACCACTGCTCATCTCTGTTTATAATACTGAGGTAGCTGGGAGTTTATTATATGCACCCCTTTTAGTGTTCAGATTATGCTCTAATAAAGCTCTTGCTCAGGTCCTTCGACAAAGCTATGAGAGGCTCATTCAGGGAAAAAAGAAACAACTTCTTTCCACACTAGTCTGTTTCAGATACTATGTGCATAGGTAAAGGTAAAGGTTCCCCTTGACATTTAGTCCAGTCATGTCCAACTCTAGGGTGTGGTGCTCATCCCCATCTCTAAGCCGTAGAGCCAGCGTCTGACCACAATTTTGGTGGTCATGTGGCCAGAGCGACTAGACACAGAACGCCGTTACCTTCCCACCATGGTGGTACCTATTTATCTACTTGTATTTGCATGCTTTCGAACTGCTAGGTTGGCAGGAGCTGGGACAAGCGATGGGAGCTCACTCCGTTGCGTAGATTCGATCTTATAACTGCAGGTCTTCTGACCTTGCAGCATAGAGGCTTCTGCGGTTTAACCTGCAGCAGCACCACGGTCCTTTGCTATGTGCATAGCAAGACCCAATTTCCTGGTATGTGTACCTCACTTTCAAACACCACTTTAGTTTTGGAACAAAACACAAATTATCAGCAAGTGTTAGGCTGGCATTTTACCTTTTCCTTGCTGTGTAACTGTGCAGAGCCTAGCTAAATAGATGTACAATAATTCACACCTTGTATGAAGAAGATTCTCAAGGGCTGGATAACTCAGCCATTTAGGCATCTGGCTGTGGAGTCAAGAGACTGGGAGTTCAACTCCCCACTGTGCCTCCATGACAGGAGCAGGACTTGATGATCTACACATATTTTCCTTGTGGTGCTCCAGGGCCATTTTAACTTTCAGAGAACGGTGAGATTTATTATTATTATTATTATTATTATTATTATCATTATCATTATTATCATTATTATCATTATTATTATCATTATTATTATTATTATTTGTATCATGTGAGAATTAACAGTTTCTACACACAATTATTTTGGAAATGAAGACTTTTTAAGGTGCTCTCTGTATACCTCATAAATTGCTTTCCCCAAATTCTTTTGGTATGCAAAGTTGCCATATTTTACTCTTGTTTCTCAGTTGAAGCTCACCACTTGGGACCACACAGGTCTCCACTTTGTCAGTCCGTATTTCTATCTGCCATTCATTCGAAATGTTATGTTCAGGGTGGTTTACATTCAAAGCAGAGCCAGTCCCAACAAAGATATCTCAACTGGAACCTTTGTTCTGTTTTGCTGACTGTGCCCGCCTCCTTTGAGCACCTAAATGGATAACGCACAGCTAAAACCAGAATTTGGTATCAATGAATGAAATGAAAAGGGGAAGAAAAAAAATCTGGCTAGGGCATGCTATTTCATTTCATTCCACTTAGCTTTTTCTTGCATGATAGGAAATGTGAAGAAAGAACGGCAGAGAGCAGAAATGATGCCACAAGATTCACACATTGAAGCTGTGCTACTACATTCCCATTTGGGAGGATTTTTCCACAAAGTAGAAAGCAGTACATACTGAAACATAAAGGCAACAAGCTAATCAATTGCTACAAAGGACCAAACTTAGGACGGCATACTTCTCATGTAACATGGTGGTGACGAAACATTCGAAAGCTTAAACACAAAGCAAAAATCAAATTCTACTCTTTAAGGGTGACAGCACTGACAATTCTAGATGAAAACACTTTTCAGAAAAAGCAGTAGAACCATCTTCAACTTTCCTTTTTCTCATAAAATACTGAACATAAAAGTCATTGTGACAAAAAAATGTGCATTGAGCTTCCGATTTCCTCTTGAAAAGAATGCGCTCTTTCCCCCCATTTACAAACACAGTAGGTTTGACCCCTTTGCCAGATTCCAGGTGACAAGAATGATCCATCCCTAGTGATTCAAGAAAGGTTGCTTCTCCTGGATTTTTGAAGTGATGATTTACTGCCCATGTGAGGACTAGTAAGTCTAATGTCAAAGCCACATTGCCTCTCAGCTGCTTAAAGCTGACCTCATCTATACATGTTAACAATGCTTTTGCTAAACAGTTCCATCAGATGCAAGACGCAGAGCTTGTTGATCAGGATTGGTCTTCCTCTTCCTTGCCAATTGATGGGTCACCGTTGTGTTAGACATATGAACACCACACAACCTCCTGCTTCACAGAGTCCATCAGAGTTCACTTTCTCCCTCTCCTGGAGGCTCCTAGTGCAACCCTTTGCACGTGACTTCTGGTGAATGACCCCCCCCGTGCGAGAAGGGCAATGGAGTGTCCAGCACCTCAAAGTTCCAGCCCCTGAAGTACATCCTTTTGGTCATTCATATATTACAATCCTCCCCCCCCCAAAACCCCAGTCTGTTAAACAAAAAATAAAGTTTTATCTTCTCTTTTTCCTGTTTTCAAAACATGTGGTTGGAAATGTTTCTGCTGCTCACAGGATGCTTTCTATTGGATTCCCCGAAAGAGGCACATGGCAAAGATCATGGCAAAGAGCTGTGAAGGAATCAGAAGTGAGACAGAACAGTCAGGTGTGATTTTAGCCCAAAGGCTTGCTAGTTACTTGGCAAAGTTACATTTCTGGACTATCTCCAAACTCCATATTGGGTCAATGCTCAAAAATGCCAACCAAAATGCACAAAACTGCGTGCAAGCTTTTGTCAAAAATAAGCATTACTTGTAGTACCTCTCAAGACATATGGCCTGAAGATCAGACCTTTGTTCCTACTCTCAGAGGAGAGCTCTCCAGATATCCTGGACTGCCAGAAAGACAAACAAGTGGGTCTTAGATCAAATCAAGCCTGAACTATCTCTGGAGGCAAAAATGATGAAAATGAAGTTGTTCTACTTTGGGCTCACAGGTAGCGCAAAAATGATGAAACTGAAGTTGTTCTACTTTGGGCTCATCACAGGCAGCCAAGATCCTCTGGAAAAGACAATAACGCTGGGAAAGGTGGATGATAGCAGGAAAAGTAGACCAAATAAAAAAGACAATAACTCTGGGAAAGGTGGAAGATAGCAGGAAAAGTAGACCAAATAGAAGTGAGCCACAGGCTTGAGTTTACAGAAGCTGAGCAGGACTTTTAAAGACATGACGTTTTGGAGATCAAAATCACCATTCATCATCAAAGTCACCATTAATTGGAGGCAAGCTGTCATGGCATGTAGCAACAGTCACAATCACCAAGTCTAGATTTGTATTCCTCACATGCTATTTTTGCCATTGTTTTAAATTTTGCAGCCATGCTCATGAGAATGTAATCTTTTATAATCAAAGCATAGAAAAGGATCTGTGGGATTGTTCTGCTGATTCTGTCCTGGGCACATTTCCTTTCCATCAACCCACTGGCATGGACACCTGCAGAGGGAAAATCTATACATGTACCCAGGAGTGTGGTTATTGCTGTACACACTGATAAAAGTGGGGGCAGCGGCATAAGCCTAGTAATCCCTTTTCTCTACAGAGATTCTATAGAATTCTAACCCAAGGCGAAGGGTTAGAATTCTTGTAGCACCGTATTTACCACTTAGGTATCTCTGAAATAGATCCTATTAAACACCACTGAACAGTATGCCACACTTTCACTACTGGATATTAAATTTTTAAAAATACCAGCTTTTTTCCTGTCAATATTCCGAATCAAGTTAAATTCAATGAATTCCTTTCAGCTGGATATTCAAAATGCAATGCATCTGTTGCTTAACAGCAGAGGGCAGCGCAGGATAGGACTCGCTACCACATTAAGCTTCCATCTTGTGACTTCTGTGAATATTCTTATGTGTAACAATAAATGCTGTACCTCAATGGCTAAAACCCCAATGGCAAGAGCTCCCGCCAGGTACACGTACGTCTCAAAGGAGTTAAGTATGACGGTGTAGCACCCCTGGAAAGAAGGAAGCAACCATGAGGATAACAATTTCATTCAAAGGCAAAATGTTCTAAGGCTCCTTTTTTTTTGATGAGGCACAAAGAGACTCAGTGATAGAGTCCTGTCTAGGACTAAATCTCATTGAGAAAGGGCAGCCCATTCATAGGGTCAGTTTGGCTGTGCAGCCCTTTGGGACACAGAGTGGAACAGCTAGCCAGCTAGCACAAGCCACTGCCAAGGCTGCCAGGGTAAGTACTGGAGCTGCATGCAAAGCACACGGTATTGCCGAGCAGGCTGGTTTGGAAACATCCTTTCTGCTTATAATAAAGGTTATTTGACCTCAGTTCTAGACATGAGTCTAGCCAGCTCACTTTACAACAGGGAACAATTCAGTATCAGCTGGTATGTATCCTTCTCAAATATAGTCCTCAAGTGAGGCCGTATCATCTCAGCTTCAAACTTATAATATTATAGAACCCACCAGTGGAATAAAAAAGTTTCACTTCTCAAGGTCTCTCTGGGGTGTCAAGGGGCTTCTGTCTACCATACTTTGCTCCCTCCATCAGCTGACGTTACTTGTACAGGTAAAAGTCCCATTTCTCTCTTCTTCTTACCTGCCGATTTTGATACATTTCCTTTCCTTGAAGACAGTCTTCTTTGCTGAGGATTGCTCCATCACGGGACTGGAGCTCCCGTCGACAACAAGCTTCAGGAACTACCTCGCGTGAATGCAGGAGATGGAAACGTGGGGCAGCTTCAAAATCTTCGGGACCGTTGACACCACAGCAGCCAAACTAGCATACATGAAAGCAAATCAGAGAGTCACTACAGTTTTCCAGAAGCACTGGAGGCAACATGGAATCCTTGAAGAAAACATGAACTTGAGGAAGGAGAATACCTGGAGTTGATAGATTTGACGACGATAAGCCAGCCAGCCAAATAGATATGACTGTGGCAAAACTGGCTGCATTTGGCAAATATTCAAGTTGGAAATTTAATACAAAATTCTGTATCTTTCCAAAATTCTCCAGCCTTTGTCTTTTTGAATAAGGAAAGTGTGTTTCTTGTCCTTATAGCAAAGATAGCCTGAAAATGTATGTGTGTGTAATATGCTGAAATCCTTCATTACGAAAGTGGAATCAGTAACTGTCCAGAGCTGCTGCTTCTTCTTTGTGATTTAGAGACACAAAATAATTGTGCAAAAGGAGCAAATATAGCCAGATTTATTCATTTTGAATCATTTATACTGACAAAACTCAGATTGTTCTGGCACAGAATGTGGTGCAGAACACGGCTGAACTCTCTATTTTATTATTGTTGTTTAGGTGGAACAATTTCTATAAGTGAGAGATAAATAAAAGGGGAGATTGGTGGTATGGGTGGACCTTATAAACACTTTTATAATATATAGTTGGTAAGACTTCTCTGGCAGTTAATACTTTGTCTCAAGCAGGAGCAGTGTCTGCCCGAGTTCTTTTCCTGGCCTACAACTCCCAGAATCCCCAAGCATGAATATCAAATGAGATTTAGTCAAACAGAATAAGGCTTTGGCACTTAGGCCTTCCTTATTCTGATGCCTCTCTTGCACAGACAATTGTAATGTAAAGAACAGCATAATCAAACAGTGATTCTGTTCTGCCATCATTAAGGAATTGAGAATATTGAAATAGTTAGAAATGAAACTCTTCACTAAATTGCTGGGTAAGTATTAAGATCAGCTCTCTATCTTCTTAATTAATTAATTTATGCTAAACTGAAAGCCATAAGAATCAATTGGATCACTGTTAGATTTTGACAAAAAAGGACTACAGGTAAATTCATCCTGATCCATTCAGGGCATGGGATCAGGCTTCTGCTTGCATATTCATAGCTGTGTGGGAGAAGAGTGCTCTGTTTTTGATTCAGCAATTCACCTAGTTTCAAGATGTGCCCATGCAGCCTAAATAAAGAAAAGAGAATCAGCAAACAGCTATGGATTCACCCTACTTCCCCACCACTGTGGATGGAAGTCAGTGGATCAGGTAGTAATCAATTTCCAAGTGGTTTTGCTTTGTTTAAATTTAAAATAGGCTGAAATCCTCATGCTTAGCATAGTTTGCCACACTAGAGTAGGCTTAGTGGGGATTGGGTGAATCAATTCCTCCATAGGCTCCATTGATTCACATAGGCCTACTCTGATTGCAACTTTCTTTAACGTAGTAAAGCAGGCCCATTGAATCAACAGAACTTACAGAGGTAGTGACTCACTAAATCCCCACTGATTCAATGGGCCTACTCTAATGTGACTTACTACACCAAGCAAGAGAAATTCAACCACTGTGTTTCTTCTCTCTGGTTTGGGAGCCGTTACACTGTATCCAGTCTCTGTTGTACCAAGATGCCAATATCATATCACTTAGGTCTTCCTTATTCTGATGCCTCTCTTGCACAGACAATTGTAATGTAAAGAACAGCATAATCAAACAGTGATTCTGTTCTGCCATCATTAAGGAATTGAGAATATTGAAATAGTTAGAAATGAAAATCTTCACTAAATTGCTGGGTAAGTATTAAGATCAGCTCTCTATCTTCTTAATTAATTTATGCTTAAACTGAAAGCCATAAGAATCAATTGAATCATCGTTAGATTGTGACAAACAAGGACCACAGGTAAATTCATCCTGATCCATTCAGGGCATGGGATCGGGCTTCTGCTTGCATATTCATAGCTGGGCGAGAGAAGAGTGCTCTGTTTTCAATGGGCCTACTCTAATGTGACTTACTACACCAAGCAAGAGAAATTCAACCACTGTGTTTCTTCTCTCTGGTTTGGGAGCCGTTACACTGTATCCAGTCTCTGTTGTACCAAGATGCCAATATCATATCTGCAACCAGTTGATAAGAGTTCTTCAGCAGTAACATTTCTCCTTAATCTCACTAGCATAACATGTTTCTGGCCACACTAACTAGAGGATTCTAGGATTTAAAATGCAAAAATTGATTTTTAAAAGTTCTGAGCAGGCTTTATAAGTTTAGGGGACTGTGTGGGCCCACCTTTTTAGGGGCTGCAGTCTTTCCTGGTCCTGAAATCTTGCACTGGCTATGCTAGCAAGGGGAGTGTAAAAACCTACTGCCACTGCTAAAGTCTTTACCACCATCACCAAAATCCTGGGGATTCTGCTTGGAAGCAAGGAAGGTGGCAAGTGTGCACCTTAATGACCAGAATGTGTACACTCCCAGTGGCTTTCTGTGAGCTCAGTTCTGCTTGAGAACAAGTCACACACCCTCTACATCTTGTTTTTCCCCAGCACAATTGTGAGGATTTCTGTAGCAGTGGTGGTGGTGTGGCCTTGGATGTTGGTGGTTGGAGCTGGCATATAGATAGCCAGGGGAACAACACATATCTTCCCTAAAAGTCATCAATGTAAGTCATAATTTGTTGTGTTCTGTGACAATCAATACAGTGGTGCCTTGACTTACAAATGTCCCTACTTACGACCATTTCGAGTTACGACCAGCTCCGGCTGCAAAATTTTGCTTTGACTTGCAGCCGGAGCTTCCAGTTATGAACAGAAAAAGGCAGGGGAAAAAGACGGGAAATTTTAATTTCTAACTGTAGGTTGTGATGAGGCTGCTTCGTTGTAGCTCTTTCACCCCAGCAGTTAGAGAGTGTGCAGTCGATGAAGGCTGCCTGGTAAGGTAAAGTGCTGTTTTCTGCTTTTAAAAAACTGTTCTAGTGTTTTTGACGCATGGTTTCGGATGGGGGGGGGGTTATGTTTCTGTGCTGTGATGAGTTTTGGAGGATTTGTTTGTTTGTTTTGGGTTTTCCCATCCCCATTTCCAATGGGTCTCAAGGGGGTTGGTTGCTTTTTGTTTTCCCCCATTTCCAGTGGGTCTTGGGGGGGTTGTTTGTTTTGTTTCCCCCTCCCCATTTCCGATGGGTCTCGGGGGCGGGGTTGGTAGCCCCATTTCCAGTGGGTCTTGGGGGGGTTGTTTGTTTTGTTTCCCCCTCCCCATTTCCGATGGGTCTCGGGGGCAGGGTTGGTAGTTTTTTGGAGTCCCCCCCATTGCCGATGGGTCTTGCATGCTTCCCTTGCTTTTTCCTTTGTCCTCTTTGCATTTCTGAACTGCCCCTTTGTTTTCTGTGCATTTCTGAACTGCTCCATTTCCAGTGAGTCTTGCAGTCATTTTTGGGTATGTGTGTGATTTTTTTCTTTCACCCAGAACAGATTAATTGCATTTCAATGCATTTCAATGGGAAATGGTTCTCTGACTTACGATCATTTCGCCCATCTTCCAGAACTGAGGCACCACTGTACATAGGTTAAATACAGCCTATGTCTAGAAGACTTCAGGCTGTCTTGTGATTTTACTTATGAACAAATGCAGAAAAAGAAAGATACTGGAATTCATAAAAGCTATGAAGACAAATCATCCTCTGTCTGACAGAGACAGACTTCAGAACATTGCACTGCCAAGTTTCTGTTGCTGATTTCTCATACTTGGCTGTCCAGCAACACAATTCAAAAGGGCCACTGGAGGGGGGGGGAAACAGCAGTAAAAACACATTTTGGGCACTGCAAATTTACCTTTACTATGCAAGCAATTGTGCATCTTGAAGACAGAAGGCCTTATAGTCATAAACATTAGTCTGGTTGTTTCCATTAATAAAGTATATTGTAATGAATGGCTTACAGTAGAGAGATATTGAAACAGTTCTTCACTAAGTTGGACTCTGTTCCAGAATTTGATCTTTCATTCTGTTGCATAAAAATTCATAGTAGGTCAATGGTTATGTTTACTTCATTTATTTCTATGCAATTCTTTATCTAGAATGGTTCCCAATGTGGTTTACAAGGACAAAGAAACAATAAGATCTTGATTTTAAAAAAGACATTATGTAGTAAAATCCAGCAATTAAAAGAAGCTGTTATAATAGAATATGGAAATTTAGGACACCCACATTTTTTAAAAAAAGAAATACTTTATGTGAAAAGAACCAGAGAAACCTCTTACAAAAGACAATTCAGATGATGGTTTCTGCCCCACTTACTCCCCTGCTGCAGTCTTTTATTCTATTTGTGAGAAAGGTTACATGCCATTTTTATAGTATTTGCACACCATGCACTGTGTTTAACAACAATTAAAAACAGCCATAAAATACAATAACATTACAGAGCAACAGTAGTACAATAAAATGAAGCACAATAAAATATTATGTACTTGCATCCTTTCAGTGACAAAGCAAAGCCCCTTTTCAAAATTTACATAAAATACCACGCCGTGGAATTTACTAAACATGACTGTAGGCTTACGCTGATGTTGAGCTAATTCTAAATACCCAAATAAGGAGGAAGGCTCACTGAACACAGAGGTATTTACTTCTGAGTAAACATCCACAGGATTGTTCCTGTTCCTGCTAATAACTGGAATCAAACTGAAAAAATACACCACCTTAATCAATGTAAATTTCAGTTGGATACTGCTGCAAGTAAAGAAGACAGTGGGGGCACTTTCTGTCCTGAACTGAGCCCTGCAAGTGGTGCAGACACCAAATGCCTATGTTGGCTTCTTATCTTATGGCAATTCACAACTGAGACTTAGTATATTGTTGGGCTTACACTAGTGGACACATGTTAACAGGATTCTGGCTCCTAATTCCACTTTTAGCCTACTCTGCTAATTTCAGTTCTTTGGTCAAAACTGGTCGTGTTTTAATTACAGTACCTGATTTACAAGTGATCCTTCTTTTTTTCAATGAACAGTAGCTTCTCAGGGTATTATAAATAGTAAAATAATAATTACTTACTGTAATCATGACAGAATTCCAGGTAGAAGAAAAGACATCAGATTCATTGTTCCCTTGGTAGTGCTTTTTCAGCTCCTTAGTAAAAAACTCTCTGGTCAACTGCAACACAGCATGAAACAAAATGACAGTTAATTCAAACCAGTCCTACACAATTCAGGAATACAGTGGGGTCTTTGAGTCACTTCATCCTCATATGCTGCCCTAGTAGGTATGGCTGGAAGGGACCTTTCCCGGCGGGGTGACTGTCAATCAATCCAGCAGTATCCAATTGTTCCCTACTTGCCTCTGGTTTTAAAGAGAGTCACGCCTCTCTGCTTAAGTGTCTTTCCCCCTCTCTTTCTAGTCAGCAGCCAGTCAGTGAGTGTGCTGTTAGAGTGCAGTCTGCAGAAGTCTGCTGGACAAACTGTAAGTTTGTTGAAGAATGTTACTGCAAGCAGTCAATTTTGTACAAATACTGGTGGTTTTCTTTAATTTATTCAACTGTCTATGACATCTATGTTGGCTTGGGCATGTCATGAGAATGGCTGATGGTCAGATTCCAAAAGATCTCCTGTATGGAGAATTAGTGCAGGGAAATCGCCCCAGAGGGAGACCACCGCTGTGATACAAGGATATCTGCAAGCGGGATCTGAAAGCCTTAGGAATGGACCTCAACAGATGGGAAACCTTGATGTCTGAGTGTTCAGCCTGGAGGCAGGTGGTGCAGCATGGCCTCTCCCAATTTGAAGAGACACTTGTTCAGCAGGGCAAAGCAAAGAGGCAGTCTTGAAACCAGCAAAATCAGGGAGCTGGACAGGGGACAGATTGTATTTGTCTTCAGTGTGGAAGGAATTGTCCCTCTTGAACTGGCCTTCTCAGCCACACTAGACGCTGTTCCAGGACCTCCATACAGAGCATGTTACCATAGTCTCTCGAGACTGAAGGATGCCTACTACTACTATTCAATTGTGAGTAAATGAAACCTTTTATTTCTTTTCCTTTTCCTACTGTCTCAGAGTTATTAAGACTGTAAGTGCTAATTGATAGGAAAACAAGTGGTGGCCTGCTTTGAGAAGACTTAAAGCTAATTCTGTTCTATAGGTCCCTGCACTTCTGCTGCGCAACTAGAGATTTTTAACAAAAATTAAAACACTGTAACATGGCAAGCAGTACACATATATGCAGGCTGCACTAACACACTTGATATATTAATTTTACAAGATGGGCTAACATTTGAGAGGCAGGTACTCAGTGATTACCGTATTTTTCCATGTATAAGACAATTCTTTTCTCTAAAGTATGTAGATTAAAAATTTAGGGTTTTCTTATACACGGAAGTAAGGAGGGAGGAGGGATCAAAGTGCTTCGATCCCTGCTTTCCCCTATACTTTTTGCAAAGAAAGCGGAGGGGGAAAACACTTTCTTGCGAGGAAACTGGAAGGGGAAAGCACTTTTCTTGCAAGAAAGTGCTTTCTTGCAAGGAAAGTGCTTTCCCACTCCACTTTCTTTTGAAGAAAGAAAGTGGAGAGGAAAAGCAGGAAAGAAAGTGGAGAAAAGGGGAATGAAAGGGAAAAGCAGAAATCGCTTTGATGAATCACTTTGATGATTCCTGCTTTCCCCCTCCACTTTCTTCTGAAGAAAGAAATTCTGGGTTAGAAAAGTGGGGACGTCTTATATGTCTTAAACTGTACGTATGTGGGGCCATATTATACAGAGAAAAATATGGCAACTACACTTTTCAGATATAAGATGGGGGGAAATGAAGTAACATACATGGCCATGCTTCATGTTTCCTGAAAGTTTACTCAACATACCTGTTCACTAAAAATAGGGGGTTGAGGAGAGACATGGTGCACCTCTCTTTGCCCCCCAAAATTCCTCGGTGTACTCTCTATCATATGTAGTTTGGGCTGAGAAAGACCTTGGGATGAAACACTGGGGATTCTAGAACAAGTTCAGAGGAGGGAGACAAGAGACTGGTCCAAGCCCTATGGGAAAAGACTGAAAGAACTGGGCATGATTAGCCTTGAGAAATCTCTATCATACTGTATCTCCCCTCAGTTTAGCGTGAGGGGAGATATGACAGCCCTTTTCAAATACATGAAAAGTTATCATACAGAAGAGAAGCAGGATCTGTTCTCAATTATCCCAGAGTACAGGACAGGTAATAATGGGCTCAAGTTACAGGATGCCAGATATCAGTTAAATAGCAGGAAAAAAATATCCTAACTGTTAGAGCAATATAACAATGGAACAAATTAACTTGGTAAGTGTGAGTGGTCCAGGGCTGGAGGCATTCAACAGAAAATTAGATAATCATCTGCCATAGTGGTTCTCAATCATTTTTCACTTGTGTAATCTTTGGCAGCCCACTACCCTTCATATTAGCAAAATGTTTGTAATTAATATGGTTGCTGGACTCACAGGACTGACTGAGGTGGCCACTTATATATATATACTGATAGAACTGCAACAGCACTCAAATTTTGGTGAAGCAGAGAGTGAAACCTGATCCTGTGCACATACTTTGCACATACACTGCAAAGTATGTGCACTGTAGGGGCATGTCCGCAACACATTGTTTAGGGAGGGACTCTCCACTATTAACCAAATTAATAAAGTGAGGGAATGGGGCTTTCCTTGAAGTTAAATCATGAAAGAAACCCACTCCACCAGTTGTTGTAACATTCAATTGATTTTATAACTTTTGACATGTATCTTGCCTTACACCATTGATGTGCCTTTTCCTGCCATTATTTGGTTTTTTTGCGTACTCATAAATGTCCTGGTTTGTATCCCTGGGGGTACACATACCCCAGGTCGGGAATCATTGATCTCTCAGATATAGTTTGATTAGAATTGCTACACTGAGTGAGGGGGACCTCAATGTTCTTACAGGCCCCTTCCAGCTCCATTATTCAGATTCTCTTCTATGATTCTAATAGACTGGATGAGCTACTTCCTCGAATCAACATGGAGCAGCTTCTTAGGTTCCAGGAGACTCTCCATGACTTACTACATAAAATTATGGGAACAAACTGCCCTTTTAAAATTGAATTCAACAGCTCTTCTCTTGTTTAAATTCTTTCCTGAGTTTTCACTACTTAACTACCCCAGGCAAGATGAAATAGAGATGTACTCAGTGTACTTCTCTTACTTTCTTTTTTAAAAAAACCTTTCCACTAAAGAGGACCAAGTTCTAAGTTAAAATGTTAAGGCATTAAAGAAAATTCATTTTCTAGCCAACTTTTAAATAGATGAATACCATTAAATGGGATCCAGAAGGTGGATTCTACTTAAGTTAAGGATAAATAGAGAAAATATAGGGATATAACCACATGCATCTGCCATTGGAATAATCAATTCTGGCAAAATGGATTCCCTTTTCACTAGGCACGACATGCTCCCATGTCCCTCACATCTTCACCAGCAGGTTGGGAATAGAGATTGGATATCTGTATTCATCTCCTGGGAAAGATAAATACAAATACAGGTGGCAGGGTGGATTGGATCCTTCTGCCAGAACTGGGCTGTCCACTTATTACTTGCAGCATGGCGTGCGCGACCATCACTGTTAGCGCCGCACCATTTGTGGAAGTAGCCCAGCTAGGGGTTTTCCCACTTCCCTGTGATGCTGATGAGGAGGTGGGATAATGAGTCTCCCTACTCAGCTGTAAATGATAAGTTGACAGCCCGGTTCTGGGGGAAGGATCCAATCGGACCGGTTACCTGTGTTGGCTATATTCGCATTCGTCTTCCCTGGGAGATGAATATGAATATTAGTTTGAAGACTGCCCCCATCCCAGATTATATTGAAGGGTGTGCAGAAGGGAGGAAAGGAAAGGAAAAGAAAGTCCTCTTGCACAAGTGGATATATAAACTGCAATTCTGTACATAATATCCAATGGAGCTGTACTGTGAAATGTTTGTGCTTGAAATTCCCACTTGACAACACACATCACAAATAAAAGCAAAACAAACAAGAAACCAACAACTATAAAAATATCCAGGTGATCATTAAACCCTGACAGTGATATCATGACTGTCCTCTCCACTGCCTCTCTAGCTTTAAGGCCAGTGACATTTTTAAAATGCAGATGTATGGTGCTGACATCTGAAAGATATTGCCTCTCACGTCTTTGTCTTCTATAGTTGTTTACAACAATGGCACTTACTGAATGCTTCCATGCATTAAATTAAACTATGCATAAATCAAACATTTATCTTTCTATCCTGCCTATCTGGTCGTACTAGACCACTCATTTAAAAAGATCAAAGATTGATCTACTTAAAAAAAAACTTAATGAAACAATTTCAAATTGTGTTATAAAAAGAAGGTTAAAGGAGAGCATCTTAGCCACCTGCAAATCTATAAACATTAAATCTGTCAAACCTCCACATTACCCACATGATTTAATAAGGTCGCCCTCTTTGGCCACTGCCAGAACAAGTCTTCCAGAACTCCCTTAGTCACATCAGGGGTATAACACAATACATTTCAACAAATACAAGACATTTCTGTAACATGCATGTAGCTAAAAGCAATAAATAGAACTTACAGCCACCTAGAGTGATCGTATAGACCAGATAGACAGGGTACAAATCAAATAGATAAATAAATAAAATAAATACACTACTACTTAGAGTTAACACATTTTCAGTAAACACTGGATGTCATTTTACTTTCTATATTATTTGCTTTATTAGTAAAATCAATGGAACTTTTGCAGACCTCACAGGATTTGCAGACAACTTATTAAAGCTACACCAGGAACAACTTCAATATAAAAAAGCTGTGTTAACTGTTGGTGGAAATGCTTATTAGTTAGTCTGGATAGGAATGTTCCCAGGGGAAATAAACACCCACCATCAGGGACTTTCAGGTTAGAAGGTGTCCTCACACATGCTCAAGCATTGTGTTTCCTTTCCTGTGTTTTGCATAATTTACCCAAGCAGGCTCTCATCCTGCAGAGGCAGCTGCCCAGACTTCTTTTTTTATTGATGTTTGTCTGCTTCCTAAGTGCAGACTTTGAAACTAATATTACAGTTGGTAATAGTCCCAGTTGGCTTCCTTTGACCAGCTCTGGAACAAAAGATTCATTTGAATATAAAGTGAAACC